ATAAACACAAAGAGCGCATAGTGGGGACTTATTCATGCCACTGAGTGTCCCAAACAGACTGGAGATTAAATCCAAGTCCTACATCCTTGGTGGCGCCCTGGATCAGCTCCTTCCAGTCTCTTCAGTTTCTTCAGCGATCTCTTTGATTCTGTGAGCCATTCTTTTTTTTTTTTTTTTTTCAACGTTTATTTATTTTTGGGACAGAGAGAGACAGAGCATGAACGGGGGAGGGGCAGAGAGAGAGGGAGACACAGAATCGGAAACAGGCTCCAGGCTCTGAGCCATCAGCCCAGAGCCCGACGCGGGGCTCGAACTCCCAGACCGCGAGATCGTGACCTGGCCGAAGTCGGACGCTTAACCGACTGCGCCACCCAGGCGCCCCTGTGAGCCATTCTCAAATGGACACAAGGACACAAAACCCAGGCTCCTCCTGCCTCAGAGTTGTCCCTGTTGACTGCACCTGGAGAATTCTGGTTGGTACTAGTTTCGTATGGATTGGTACTACAGCATGGGCTGCAGGCCATATAGGTCCCCAACAAGATAGAATAGAATGAATGCAGCAAGATTCCATGAACATTCTGGGGTGAAAACTTAGCCGTCAGTGGTCCACAGCCAATTAAATAACCAGTAGTTGATAACAAGGACCACTTGACAACAGACGTGTCTGCTGGAGGCAGGCGGTTGCTGCCTTAGGACAAGATAAAGGGTATGAAGAATTCCAGAACACTGGAGTAGAATGGGTGCTTCTGATGACACCGAATAACTCAAAGAGAACAGAAGTTAAAGGGAAAAACTCACATTTGGTTCTCTCGGTTATTGAATTATGAAGGCTGTCGAGGTCACAGCTTCAAGCCAGTCTCTTGTGTGACAGAGGCACAGTGTAAGAGTGAGACTCCAATTGGAAAAGGCCTGAAAGACCCACCCTCGGGTCCTTCTGAAAACTCCCCACTGCCCATCCCGTGTGAGAGGAAGCCGTTCCTTCCTTGCGAGAAGGGTGCTGAAGATTCCCTTCCGTGTTACGAGGCCAGTAACCAGAATTCAACTCTATGATGCCCCAGCAGGTGTGGGTAGGTATGTATGGGAATCAGTGTAGGGGAGAGAAAGCATTTTTTTTTCAATATATGAAATTTATTGTCAAATTAAGAAAGCATTTACCTAGGAAAACATATCGAAGGAATTGGGCAATTTCTATCTGTAAAGTCTCTAAATATTGATGAGTACCAATTTTAAGGCACTCCATCAGGGAGGGAGAACATAATTTTTAGAGAGGATTGTTTCACTGAAGTGGATGCTGTTACCAGAGATGACATCATAATTGTGCTATTTCTCACAGCGCCGTATATTATAGTTTGCTGTGTTGGCTGAAGCGAAACTCAATTCGGCCTGGTTCACATTAAAGAATGGTGAGAGGCCAGAAATTCCTTGATGCGATGTAGAGAAAGGAATTCAAAGCCTTTGGGAGATAAGAAATCATGTACCTACTGCCGCCCTTTGCCTGACTCCATCCTTTGAGAAGGCTCTGAACGCTTGCACATCCTCAAGGTTTTGAGAAAGCGCTAGAATGTTTAAGAGGCTCTCTTTAAACGCGTAAATGGGCTCTGTAATCTCAGTGACGAGAAGAGAGTTCTAGGGAGCACTCAAGGACCAGAAGCGTAGTTCTGCATGATAATCAGAGCTGAGAATGGTTTGAACTTTCAAGATTCTGTGTCTGTGGTTCATTAATCAAGGATGCTTTCGGGACATTTTTCATGCCATCTGGCTGCCTGTCCTCCTTTCTGGGGATTTACACATTGTGAGTTTCACTTCCTCGAGGCGGAAGCCAGGCCTGACTTTCGTAGCCTCCTTTCAGCCCAAGCGCATCCAGGCCAGGGCCACTGGTGGGAGCTGAAGGATACGTGCCACAGTGGGGACACGGAGTCCTCCTTGGAGCAGTCCCGCAGCCGTGGTTGGGCCACTGTTCCTTGTCCCGGCTACGTAAGCCCTCAAGCCATTTCTCTCTTGCCCTTCCAGAAACTCTGTCAGCCACTGGATATCCTTTGAGATGTTCATTTCATGCTTGAACTAGAGTTGGTTGTTGACAACTAAAATATCAGGACTGGTTTGGGGTCTCTAGGAATCAAATTGATAGGCAATGGCTCAGGTCATTTGTATCATCAAATGAAAGCTGGCTCTGATGAATAGGGTTAGAGAATCATGCCTGCTTATCACTCCTCAGTCCTCAGTCAGTGCTCACACCCGGGATCTGTGAATGAGGGGAAGGCCGGGATCCTTAACCGGGGATCCTATTACAAACACCGAAAACCACCTGCCATGAATGTTCCTTCTAGGAATCTCCAAAGAGACCTTAGGCCATTTACAGTGATAATGTGCCCTCATAAAAGGAAAACACAGAAACTTTTGGGAACCTCGGGCTACTGACTCTGAGTTAACACCAACCGGGGGGGGGGGGGCGGCAGGGGGGCCCAAAATGCTACGCCTATCAGACTGGAATCCTTCAGACCCAGTGTTGGGTAGAAAAACTGTCTCAAGGGAACACGCAAAGTGTAACACAATCTGTCTAAACTCTTCATCCCTATCCGGAAACATGCAAGTGAGCAAAACAAGCCAGTGAACCCTGGATAACTTAGCAAGGATGTACAGAGATGCTTGAGGCCCATGGCGGGGTGCCTCCCTGAACAGATAGCAAAGAGTCAGATTTTGGTGGACATCTGTTATTGTCAGCCACCAGACATCCGTTCCCCTAGCCGTTCTCTTGTGACACCCCTCAATTTCCCTTGGGGAAACCACCCGGCCTGCTGCAGCGTTTGATGAGATGTTCAATTAGCCACCCTTACCTGAATGCCCAGAGCTGTTCTGATGTCAGTGCACTCCAAGACTGGCTCTTTAACGGTCCCTTTGAGTCTGTGAGCTAACCCAGATCCTTCCAATAAATTCCCTTTGGTTTAAATTTGAGTCAGCTTCTTTTATTTGCAAAGAACTCTAATAATATACAGTGGCATCTATTCTCAAAGGGTTCCTAGCCCCACCAAGGAAATGAACATGTAAACAAGGATAAAGGTGTGAGAAGGGCAATAAACAGGCAGACACAGAGTACGATATTAGCGTAGAGGAACTCCCATCAGTAGGGACAAGGATCACGACAGCAATAGGTAGAAATGCAAGGAAAGTTCCTTGCGTAGAGTGAAGGACAAACAACACCCTCCTAGTGTCTAAACACCCCGTGCGTTTTGGAGACCACAAGAAATTTAGCATGTGGGAACGTGAGGTTCAATGGAAGCAGCCTCTGGAGAAGCGGAGGGGCTGGAGATCGATCCAAGCCTGGCCATTTCATAACAGCGAGTTTAGTTTTTATCAAGGGTGAAGCTGTGGTCAGAATGGTGTTTCAGAAAGATCGCTCTTTCGAAGTAAAGAAGGGAAGTGGGTTGGGAGAAATCGGAAACTCATTGGACTTTGGAGTTAGACTGGGTTCAGGTCCTGGCCCTGCTAACTGACTCCCTCTACGACCTTAAGCAAGTTCTTGAACCTCTCTGAGGCTCATATTCATCATCTGTAAAATGTGATAACAAGAGTATCTACCTCCCAATGAGTTGCGTGGATTAAGTGATCTCTGTAAAGTTTCACCATAGGGTTGGGCACATGGTAAGTTGCTAACGAAGTTAGCTATTATTGGCATAATGATGACAGCTTGGGAGACCAGCTGGGGTCATCGCAATAGTTTAGGTGAGAGTTGATGGAGTTTTAAACCAAGGCAATAGAAATGAGGGCGGAGAGCCCCTAAATGTTTGTAAATACACTGCATCAGTTGAGTGACTGGCCATTCATACAGGGACACTGTGAGAGTGGCATGGGTACATATCAATGATGATATAGGACCACAAGCATACATTGGGGAGCATGGTCACCCTTCACATTAGCTTGTTCTAAGTTCTGCTGCTAGACATCCCTCACCAGCACCAACACTGCTCAGCTTGATTACAGCAGGCTGGAAGGAAATTTGTTTGGTTTTTATTTTTATTGCAGATGAAAAGAAACCCACAGACACTGGGCATACTCCCAGCTCGTGTCTTTTATGATCCTCTTGAGCCAGGATTTATAGCTCAGCCCACCTGAGCGTGCACAAGGGGAAGAGGGGCACGTTCTTTCTCACTCTGTCACTCTATTTCCTATCGTGTGGACTCTAGAAAGGTGGGTCCTCTAGCCTTGATTTGCAGACCCGTGACTCAAACACCATGCCAGCCTCAGTGGGCTTCCTGTGTCTCCGGAATAGGGCTCAGTATCTCTCCCACACTGTCCCTCGAGGCAGGTAACTTGTCTGTTTGGGCCTCTCTAATATGCCCAGCATCAAGCACAGTGCCTGGCACCTAGAGGGGGCTTGATTAATAGTTACTGAATATTGTGGTAGTGTTGTCCACGTAAGTATTTGCCATTTGTCCAGAGGCTGGCCAGAGCTCCTGCCCCACCCCTCATACACACAGATACTGTGTCTTCCAGTTTGCTTTCATTAGGCCCGGGCTAGGAAAAGCCAAATCCGTTAGGACTCCTGGTCACTGGTGGTCATCGTCATAGTTGGTCGGCATCATTGTCAAGATTTGTCTCACTTTGGGTTTGCAGCAGCCCTGCCTCTGTTTCCCCCTACCCCCCTGAATGAGGAAGTTGGCTTTTTCCTCAGGCCCGTTCCTCTGGACTGGACTTCTTGGCTCTGCTTGGCTGCTTTGGGGTTCCAGCTGAGCAGACAGAACATTTTTCCCATTTATTTTCCTAAGGGGTGAGCTCCCGTTCCTAATCGGTCCATCCCCAGCCCGAAGCCCTGCAGAGCACAGCCCGTAACAACTAGGAACTCACTTGGAGGTTTATTGGTGGAAGTACAAAGCACTGTGTTATAAGCACCCTCATACCTCTCCCACGGTCTTTTTGCCCACAGTGGGAAAACAGCATTGATAGGAGATTGTAGCAAGCGCACAGAATGAAGCTAGGGAAGATCGCCCCGTTCTGGATAGGTGTCAGGGTCCAAAAAAGTTCTCTCCTAGGGAACTGGCAACAGGAGCCTGCAGGAAGTGCTCATCTGGATTCTCTTGTTCCCAGAGGCTGTGGCTCAAGGCAGCTCTCATGGGTATTTTCAAACTGACTGGAGATGCCACCCGCAAGGGGGTCTTAGAGCTGTCCAAATTGTCTATTTTGATGGCGACATTGGTGTTACTGTTGGAGCCCAGGAATTTTGGAGTCATTGAAAGCAATAAAAGAAAGAGAAAGCATTGTTAAAAGTTTAATTTAAAAAACTGTTTCTAAATTGTATATTTTCCAGTACAAGTGCCTTGAATGTAGATGTGGACGTGGGAATGCTGGCCAGGGACGACACGTATAAATGGTATGATATATCAAGAGAGACTTGGGGACGCCTGGATGGCTCAGTTGGTTAAGCGTCCGACTTCAGCTCAGGTCATGATCTCACGGGTTCATGGGTTTGAACCCGTGAGATCTGTGTGCAGACAGTGTGGAGCCTGCTTGGGATTCTCTCTCTCTCCCTCTCTCTGCCCCTCCCCCACTCACATGCACACGCTCTCTCACTCTCTCTCTCTCTCAAAATAAATAAATAAACATAAAGAGAGAGGGAGAGTGACTTGAACAAAGAAAACCAAGCAGGAGGGAGGCTCTGGCTAAGGTCTGCTCTGCTGGAGTGGAACAGACACCCCTCCAAATCTTAAGCACCACTTTTATGTGGTGAGAACCTAATTTGTTAACTAAGACTCAAAGGCAAGACCTGAGCCCCGTGGGATCTGCCTGATGCCCACTATAACCTGACAGCTATCAGCATAAGGAAAAGAAAACCTCACGACAGTTCTCCAAAACAGTAACAGCTTTGAAAAAAGTTACAGCCACTGAATGTGCCTAGAAAAACACAGAGTGTGGCTAACATTTTTAAAAATTTTGATTCTAAGTGAAATACATGGTTATTTTATTTTATTTTTCAACGTTTATTTTTGGGGGGGGAGGGGCAGAGAGAGAGGGAGACAGAGGGTCCAAAGTGGGCTCTGTGCTGACAGCAGAGAGCCCAGTGCGTGGCTTGAACTCATGACCTGAGCCCAAGTCAGACTCTTAACCAACTGAGCCACCCAGGAACCCCCGGTTTGTTTTTTGTTTGTTTTTTCATTTAAAATAACCATGTTGGGGCACCTGGGTGGCTCAGTCAGTTGAGCATCTGGCTCTTGATTTTGGCTCAGGTCGTGATCCCAGGGTCATGGAATTGAGTCCCGCACCAGGCTCCTCACTGAGTGTGGAGTCTTCTTGAGAGTCTCTCTCTCTCTCTCTCTCTCTCTCTCTCTCTCTCCCTCTGCCTCATTTCCCTGCTCTCTCTCTCTAAAAATTAAAAAAAAAAAAAAAAAAATGAAAACGAGGGAAACCACAAAAAAGCACCAAATGGAAAATAAAAATCACTCACACTGTAACTATTCAAAGATAAGATGCGATGATTTTTTAAGTGAAAATAAGTTTAGTTATGTAGCCAGAGCCTGGCAAAATGGCCAAATAGTCTACAAAATCTTTACCATAAAACACCTAGAGATTCTAGATAAAATATAATCACATAATTTAAAGTGTATTGTTAAGCCCACAAAAAGCAAAGAACAATCCCAGGGGTGAAAAATTAAAGACTGGCAAAGTGTGGGCTGAAGCTGGGGGTGCCCGAGGGACTTGCCAGTCTTGGTGGCCCCGGGCTTAGGTTTTACCCACTTCAGTTTAGGCCAACATGAGTCCCACAGGTAAAGGCCTGTTTGAGAAAGCTCAGGATAAAAAAAATTCCAGCTACAGACTGCTCCAAGACCTAGACGGTTATCTTGCGTATCTGTCCATATCTGTGTACGAGGACGCACAGAGCAGCAACAGAGCATCTGATGTATCTGAAGACAGGGGAGCTCCTATTCCCCCCACAGGTTCTCAGTGGAAAGTGCCCGGGACAGTTTGAGGAGGAGGAAACTGGAAGTAAGTGCAAGGGCTCTGGCTGAGTCGGAAGAGGTTGGAGCCCTACATGCCTTATGGTCTCTTGAAGCCATCGGAACACTCTCTCTTGCAAGACACAGCCTCACACTAAGGAAAAGCCACTGGAAACGGGGTCCAAATTGAGTAGGACGGGAAGAATAAAAGCAAAGAAAAGAGAAAGATCAGCTAAAGACAGGAGAGAGGATCACAGCCCTAGAAGTGCAAGGCCATCAACACTTCCCAAAAGCCACACAAGAGGGAGCTCTAGAGACCAAACCAGAAAGCAACCTGGACTGACCGTCACTCCCAAAGGTTCAGGAAAATCATTTTCACGTTAAAAATAACTGTCGGAGGGGCGCCTGGGTGGCGCAGTCGGTTAAGCGTCCGACTTCAGCCAGGTCACGATCTCGCGGTCCGTGAGTTCGAGCCCCGCGTCAGGCTCTGGGCTGATGGCTCGGACCCTGGAGCCTGTTTCCGATGCTGTGTCTCCCTCTCTCTCTGCCCCTCCCCCGTTCATGCTCTGTTTCTCTCTGTCCCAAAAAAAAAAAAAAAAACGTTGAAAAAAAAATTAAAAAAAAAAAAAACTGTCGGAAAAGGATAGTAACCAAACGCCACACAAAATTATATGAGAAAAACAAAGTATATGAAGCATACTAAATGCTTACAATGAAAGCACACTAAAAAAGATATGCCTGCAAAACAAATGAAAAGTACAACCTAGCATTTCAAAATGAGCTAAAAGAAATTAAGAAAGTGATAGACTATATGAGGGTGCCACCCAAGTCAGAACTTAAAAGATTTGTAAATGGGGTGATGAAACTGAGGAGAGAGTCAAACATTTTTAAAGAAACCATTATTTCCCAAAATGAAGCCTAAACCAGAAAGAATACAGGAGCAAACAAAGCAGACAGTGCCTTAAGAGGAAGAAAAGAATAGAAGGAGAGCTTAAAGAAAGAAAAAGAGAAAATGACAGCTCTATTAGATAGGCAAAGATGAGCCAATATTCAAATAACAAGAGTATCCAAAAGAGACACTTTTGCATTATAATTCAATACAACTATCTTGAAAGTAAAACAAAACAAAACAAAACAAAACCCAAGAACCACAAGACTGGAAAGCACATATAAAGGCACACAATGACCTGGGAGAGCAGCCCAGCATGACCACCACGGGGACCCTGCCCCAGAGGGAGGCTAAAACAGCACTGAGAGAGAGAAGGGGTGTGGAGAGTCCCTTGTCTAAAGCTGCTGCCTTTTCCCCCTGAAGCTGAAAGAGAGGGGCTTCCTAGGATCATCCAGAGATTTTGAACTGGGGCCCCCTGGAGGCAGGGGTCCTCGGAGACCCCGTAGGTAGGGACACAAGTCCTGAGCAGGAAATCTGAAGGGCGGGAAAGATGGAAGAATAGGTCTCTTGGGTGGAGGAGTGAAGAGGAGTCATTCCTGTGTCCAGGGGCTCATCAAAGTCTGAGAGGACATTTCTCGAGGGCCAGACGTGGACTATACCTGAGACAGAGAGAGCCAGCCTGGAGCCATTGTAAGCCCTGCCCAAGAGAACGTCCTTACAGCCAGAGCCCGAGGGGGGTGGTGGCTGGAGGAAAGGAAGGTGTCAGAGCATCACCAGAGTTGCAGTTGGGAATGAGGGGGGTGTCAGGTGTGGGACTTTAAAGAACCCAAGGAAGCTTCTAAGAGAAAAAATTAGCTTTAAAGTTAGGAAACAGGGGGTGCCTGGGTGGCTCAGTCAGCTGGGCATACAGTTTCTGCTCAGGTCATGATCTCACAGTTCATGAGTTCGAGCCCCGTGTTGGCTCTGTGCTGACAGCTCAGAGCCTGGAGCCTGCTTCGGATTCGGTCTCTGTCTCTCTCTGCACCTCCCCCGCTCTCTTTCTCTCTCTCTCTCAAAATATAAATAAACATTAAAAAAAAAATTTAAGTTAGGAAACAGAAGGAGAAGAGGAGTGAAAACCCAGTGCCCACCGTGAAGGGCCATCTTAACATGAGGCCAGACTGAGGGAAGGTGTGAACAGTTCAGGGTTTTGGTAATTATCAGCCACATTTTAATTTCAGAATTGATGCTTCTTTTTCAGTTTAAAGGGACCAGAGGACCTTTTATATTCTAAGAGGGAGCCCATATGCTTAGGGGGCCTGTCAGAGAATCAGCTTTTATCTAAGGGCAAGAAGAAAACTCCCACTGAAAAAATTATAAAGGGAAGACAAAAATAAATTTACATTAAAAAAACTTTCTTAGTGTTTATTTTTGAGAGAGAGAGAGACAGAGACAGAGCACAAGCGGGAGAAAGGCAGAGAGAGAGGGAGACATAGAATCCAAAGCAGGCTCCAGGCTCCAAGCTGTCAGTACAGAGCCCGACGTGGGGCTTGAACCCACGAACCGTGAGATCATGACCCGAACCAAAGTCGAATGCTTAACCGACTGAGCCACTCAGGTGCCCCCAAAATAAATTTACATTTTGATGGTATCCTGCAAGTTATACTTGTTCAATGTGTCGATTGGGTGATCTTGCTTTTGTTTTCCATCGCTCGTTGCACAGAGTCTCATACAATTAGTGAATTAGTAAATGGCTTTGGAGCCATGTCTGCTTTGGGTTACTGTCTATTCTGTCCATTTTACAGAACAGATAAGTGAGGTGAAGAGAACTCAGAACTGTCTTACCCGGGGGACCCTGGTGAACCGGGTTTGGAGGTAGTCGATATGGAGCTCCATGAATCTGCCTGATCAGCTCACCCCCCTCTGATAACTTACTCACCCCTCGTTCTTTTTATTGAGCACCGTCTATGAAAGCACTGCAGTTTGCCTAGGGAATATTCAGACCCAACAGCCACAGACCCTGTTTTTGACAGGCTTATAATAAAACTGAGGGGAGAAATCATATGCATAATGGTCTAGAATAAAAAGAAGGAACTGAGGTAGTTTGGCCGAGGGTGCCACCGTCCCCACCCACGGCTCAGTGCTGCGGGAAGGGATGCCGGAGCTGCCTGCATGGAGGACCCACCTGTCCGCTGTGAGCTGGGGCCTCCCTGTGATATTCGAGAAACTGTCACTGGTCTGCTCGGCTGTCAACAGCATGAAGCTTTCGCTGGGCTGGGCGGATGGCAGGAGGCTGCTTTCAGGCTGGGTGGAGAAAGTTACAGTCAGATGACCAGGTCTGCCTGGAGTTCTCAGCCTCCTTGGGCCAGAACCTTGAAGGGACTCAGCCTTGAGTCTTCCAGCCTCGACCCGGAAACCTGTTTCTTAAGCATCAAGCCCCAGAATCATCAGAGCCCAACTGGGCCCTGGCGGGATAACGTTCTCTCTCTGCTGGGCTGCCAATGGCTACTGTGCCTGAACATTAAGAACGAGAGCAGCAGGGCTGGGAAGCTGACTTTGGAAGGCAGTGATAATAATACGGAAAGGCCTTCAACTGAGACAAGAGGAAGAAAGGGTTTAGGTTCTGAAATCTGAAGGTGTTAGGCAATCCAGCCTATCGATCTCTTTCTTTCTGTGCTTCTACCCTAAGCAGGTCCTGGAAAAGCCTTCTCTGTGTCAAAAGGGGTGGGGGGTGGGGAGCCTCAAATAAACTGAGAGGAAAAAGTGAATCCTTGGGGGAAAGGTTTATAGACACTTGTGATTCAAGGGTTAAACTTCTTGATACATAAAAAGCTTTATTTTACAAACCAGTTTAGAAAAAAACACAAAATGCCAATAGAGAAATCGCCAAAGGGCACAAAAAGACTGTATAATGATGTTCAAACTCATTGAAAATCAAATGGCTGTTACTTTTTCACCTATCATACTAGAAAATTTATTAAAATTTGTGCTTCGGGGTGCCTGGGTGGCGCAGTCGGTTAAGCGTCCAACTTCAGCCAGGTCACGATCTCGCGGTCCGTGAGTTCGAGCCTCGCGTCGGGCTCTGGGCTGATGGCTCAGAGCCTGGAGCCTGTTTCTGATTCTGTGTCTCCCTCTCTCTCTGCCCCTCCCCCGTTCATGCTCTGTCTCTCTCTGTCCCAAAAATAAATAAACATTGAAAAAAAAATTTAAAAAAAAATTTATGCTTCTCTATTGTGATAAGGACACAGTGACATAGACACTCATATTACTGGAGAGAGTAGACTTTGGCATGAGCTTTCTGGAAATAATCTGGCAATATGTATCAAGAGCCTTAAAAATGCTCATACCCTTTGAATTCTGCTTCTAATAATCTATTCTGAGAAAACAAGCAGCAATGTGGTCAGTTCACACAAATGCTTGTTCTAGCATCATTTACCATAATGAAAAGTTAGAAACAACTCTAAATGTCTGATAACAGGAGAATGGCGAAGTAAATTTTAATTCATTCACACAACTACTGGAACGGCATGAAATTATCAAATTGATGTGTATGAAGAGCTTTAAAAAGAAACGGGAAAATGCTTCTGATATAATCTCAACTGAAAAAAAGCAACATTCAGACATTTATTATGTATTGAATATCCTCAAATATATAAATGAAAAATTAATTTAAGATGGAAGACTGTCCGGACCCCAAAACCGTATCACAAAACCATAATCACCATGACAGTACGGTACTGGCACAAAAACAGACACTCAGATCAATGGAACAGAAGAGAGAACCCAGAAATGGACCACAAACGTAGGGCCAACTAATCTTTGACAAAGCAGGGAAGAATATCCAATGGAATAAAGATAGTCTTTCAGCAAGTGGTGCTGGGAAAACTGGACAGCGACGTGCAGAAAAATGAACGTGGACCACTTTCTCACACCATACACAAAAATAAACTCAAAATGGATGAAAGACCTAAGCGTAAGACAGGAAGCCATCAAAATCCTGGAGGAGAAAGCAGGCAAAAACCTCTTTGATCTCAGCCGCAGCAACTTCTTACTCAACACGTCTCCAGAGGCAAGGGAAACAAAAGCGAAAATGAACGATTGGGACCTCATCAAAATAAAAAGCTTCTTCACAGCGAAGGAAACAATCAGCAAAACTAAAAGGCAACGGACGGAATGGGAGAAGATATTTGCAAACAACACATCAGTGAAGGGTTGGTATCCAAAATCTATAAAGAACTTATCAAACTCAACACCCAAAAAACAAATAATCCAGTGAAGAAATGGGCAAAAGACATGAATAGACACTTCTCCAAAGAAGACATCTGGATGGCCAACTGACACATGAAAAAATGCTCAACATCACTCATCATCAGGAAAATACAAATCAAAACCACAATGAGATACCACCTCACACCTGTCAGAATGGCTAACATTAACAAGTCAGGCAACGACAGATGTTGGCAAGGATGTGGAGAAAGAGGATCTCTTTTGCATTGTTGGTGGGAATGCAAGCTGGTGCAGCCACTCTGGAAAACAGTATGGAGCTTCCTCAAAAAATTAAAAATAGAACCACCCTATGACCCAGCAATTGCACTACTAGGTATTTATCCAAGGGATACAGGTGTGCTGTTTCGAAGGGGCACATGCGCCCCCATGTTTATAGCAGCACTATCAACAGTA